AAAATAAAAATTGCCCTTTCAGTTTAATTTTGTTAGTTTTTATTGGCTGTCTAGTTGCATTTCTTCATCTAATTGCCCTTTAACTAGTCTTCTATGAAGTGTAAAACTTGCTGATTTTTGATCACTGAATTTTCTCCAACCAGGTTCATTTTGCACCACATGTGTATATGTTGGTTGATATAGCAACAGCACATTGTAGCACTATTTCCTTAGGTGTGCGTATTACTTTTACAGGTTTAGTGGCAGCAAAAAGATGCACAATAATTTGTGAATTCACTCTTTAATGTAGAATAGTTGATTTGGTTTAGTATGGTTAACTCTAATACAGGTACTCCTGCTATGTGTGGAGTTAATAGTGATGTCCATTTAAACCCAGTTTGTCCTCATAATCAAGGGTTAGTTAGGTGTTTGTGTGTGTTTGAGAGTGTGTGAGTGAGGTCCAGTTAAACCCAGTTTGTCCTCCATAATCAAGGGTTAGTTAGGTGTTTGTGTGTGTTTGAGAGTGTGTGTGAGTGAGGTCCAGTTAAACCCAAAATGTCCTCATAATCAAGGGTTAGTTAGGTTTTTGAGAGTGTGTGTTTGAGTGAGGTCCAGTTAAACCCAAAATGTCCTCATAATCCAGGGTTAGTTAGGTGTTTGTGTGTGTTTGAGAGTGTGTGTGAGTGAGGTCCAGTTAAACCCAAAATGTCCTCATAATCAAGGGTTAGTTAGGTGTTTGTGTGTGTTTGAGAGTGTGTGTGAGTGAGGTCCAGTTAAACCCAAAATGTCCTCATAATCCAGGGTTAGTTAGGTGTTTGTGTGTGTTTGAGAGTGTGTGTGAGTGAGGTCCAGTTAAACCCAAAATGTCCTCATAATCAAGGGTTAGTTAGGTGTTTGTGTGTGTTTGAGAGTGTGTGTGAGTGAGGTCCAGTTAAACCCAAAATGTCCTCATAATCAAGGGTTAGTTAGGTGTTTGTGTGTGTTTGAGAGTGTGTGTGAGTGAGGTCCAGTTAAACCCAAAATGTCCTCATAATCAAGGGTTAGTTAGGGTTGTGTGTGTTTGAGAGTGTGTGTGAGTGAGGTCCAGTTAAACCCAAAATGTCCTCATAATCAAGGGTTAGTTAGGTGTTTGTGTGTGTTTGAGAGTGTGTGTGAGTGAGGTCCAGTTAAACCCAAAATGTCCTCATAATCAAGGGTTAGTTAGGTGTTTGTGTGTGTTTGAGAGTGTGTGTGAGTGAGGTCCAGTTAAACCCAAAATGTCCTCATAATCCAGGGTTAGTTAGGGTTGTGTGTGTTTGAGAGTGTGTGTGAGTGAGGTCCAGTTAAACCCAAAATGTCCCCATAATCAAGGGTTAGGTAGGGTTGTGTGTGTTTGAGAGTGTGTGTGAGTGAGGTCCAGTTAAACCCAAAATGTCCCCATAATCAAGGGTTAGGTAGGGTTGTGTGTGTTTGAGAGTGTGTGTGAGTGAGGTCCAGTTAAACCCAAAATGTCCCCATAATCAAGGGTTAGGTAGGGTTGTGTGTGTGTGTATGCATGATTCATATGGTTACTGATGTCCAGTTAAACCCAAATGGTCAGGAATGTTCATTTAGATACTAATAACAAGTCTTGAACAATCTTCTCTTTTTACATTAAAGGTGCCCTTGAATGTTTTGTATTATTATTTTATAATGTTTCCTGGGTTACCCTTATAATGTTAGTATGTTTTTTTTAGATAAAAAATAATCATAATTTAGAAATAAATGGCATTTTTCCTAGCCTGCTTTTAGCCTCTGATTTGAACGCTCTGTTTGAAGGGGCGTGTCTCTGTTGGATTCAGTGTAACCGCGGCCACTGCTGTGATTGGCTGTGGGATTCAGTGTAACCGCGGCCACTGCTGTGATTGGCTGCTGTGGGATTCAGTGTAACCGCGGCCACTGCTGTGATTGGCTGCTGTGGGATTCAGTGTAACCGCGGCCACTGCTGTGATTGGCTGACATGCTTGCATATGAAATAGCAACGCATTACATGTGAAACTCTCTCCCGAATACTTTTACTACTGCTATTATACGTTTTTACTATAACAGCTATCGAGATTAACGAATCGTGAGATGTTTTTAAAGTATTTAGATCTATTCCCATCACATAAAATGTTGCCGTGATGAGCATTGAGCAGATGACTGTGTGTTGATCGCGAGAATGAAGATCTTATCATTGCAAAGCAGTTTCTGCACTCTCTCTAATGCTTTCACCAATGCAAACATGATGATGTAAATACAGTAAGAGCTTCGTTGTGCAGTGTAACGTGCTTCATTGATTTCATAACGAGTTTGGCAAGTGTCCAGATAAACTCACGCTGTGTGGAAAGAGTGTTCTTTGATCGCTTTCTGTATATAATTTGTTCACAATTTAAAAACGATTATTTTCATCCTACTAAAAGAAACGATGTGAAGCTGATATTTTAGTCACTGGCTTGACTTACTGATGCATAAACAGTATTGAACGATTTTGAGAGAAAGATTACCTGTCTGAACTTGAACAATTACACATCAGAAAGTGTTGCTTGGTAGCTCGATCCGAGGCCAGCTCTGTATTGGCCCAAGTTGAGGAAACAGTCGGTGAAATGTTTGGAAATTTCCAGACAAAATAAAATTAACCCATTGTTTCTTCAGAGGCTCAGATGAAGGAACTAAAAAATACTTTTGTGTTCATGTGTTTACCACACTGAGCAACTGCCATGCTTCGGCTGCGCAGTTCCGCCTGGCATTGAGGGCTGGCATTATGCAAATATTTGGAGGCGTACATATTAATGATCCCGACTATTGCGTCACAGTCGGTATTGTGTGGAGAACCGACCGTTTTTCAGGGGTGTTTTTCATAAACGTGAATTAAATGAGAACGCGAAAACAGTCCAGTTTGAGATTCACTCTATGTCATGTCCATGCACTGAACTCTTGTTATTTGACTATACCAAGGTAAATTCAATTTTGAATTATAGGTCACCTTTAACAAAACCCAAACCCAATCAACTGGAAATATTTAGCTTTATTCAAAACTATCTTTAGACAAAACTTCTTAATCTAATGAATAAATTAAGACTGACATTCAAGGTTCAATTATGAAAAATATTTGTGGGTGAATGCATTTGTCAGTGATGGTTAAATAGTAAACTCTCCTTTTGGTTTTTTAATTTCTTAATTTTTAAAGCTAAAATATTTCCGTATTTCACTTTCCTTCTTCTCTCTTTGCTCTTCACTCACTTCACACCTGCTAAATCTCACATTACAAACTCAGGTTAGTTTTCTGAAATCTCTCTTAAAGTTTAAGCCAGGTTGAACAATTGCTGATAATTTCTTGTTTTGTTTTTCTATATGCTGGTATTGAAACAAACTTAAGTGATGCGGCACTCTCATGGGTAAAGTTAGTCCAGGTTATACCAGGTTAGTCCTCATAATTAAGGGTTAGGTGTGTGTGTGTGTATGTGTGAGATGTCCAGATAAACCAGGGTTGTCCTCATAATTAAGGGTCAGGTGTGTGTGTGTGTATGTATGTGAGTGATGTCCAGATAAACCAGGGTAGTCCTCATAAATCATAATTAAATCAGGAAACGCCCACTCCTGCCCTGTCCTTACAGTGCTTTAGTTTGTCAGGTCTTCATATTACCAGACTGTTTCATTAGAATTAAATTCTGAGCAGTCAGCTTTTTACCCCATGCCATAAGGAGCAGTTTAATATTTATTATTAATCTCTATGACAAAGGGAAAGGTGGGTCCCCATAAACCAGGATGGAACTTTTTAGGGGAAAAAGTCTTTATAAACCACCCGTACCAGTATGTGTGTGTGTGTTAGTCTTCTTGATTGGAGGTTAAGGAACCACAGGCATTATTGGAGATTGACTGAGTTGTTGTTCTGGATAAGTTGGTGCTCAGCAACCCAAATCTGCGACCTGGAAGGTCACGACGTGCCTCACTTCAGGGTCCGAGTGTCAGCCGCATAATCATGGAGATATGCTTCCGTCTATCTGTGTATGTGTGGACCATTACTGTGTTTATCTATTTCTTAGCCAATCAGAAACTGCAACCTGAAGCAAGGACGTAGCTTAGACCTGGGTGAAGGGTATGTGTGTGTGTGTGTGTGTGTGTGTGTGTGTGTGTGTGTGTGTGTGTGTGTGTGTGTGTGTGTGTGTGTGTGTGTGTGTGTGTGTGTGTGTGTGTGTGTGTGTGTGTGTGTGTGTGTGTGTGTGTGTGTTGTGTAGGGTATAACTGCTGTGTGTATGTGTGTGTGGCGAAGGGTATAACTGCTGTGTGTGTGTGTGTGGCGAAGGGTATAACTGCTGTGTGTGTGTGTGTGTGTGTGTGTGTGGCGAAGGGTATAACTGCTGTGTGTGTGTGTGTGTGTGTGTGTGTGTGTGTGTGTGTGTGTGTGTGTGTGGCGAAGGGTATAACTGCTGTGTGTGTGTGTGTGTGTGTGTGTGTGTGTGTGTGTGTGTGTGTGTGTGTGTGTGTGTGTGTGTGTAGGGTATAACTGGTGTGTGTGTGTGTGTGTGTGTGTGTGTGTGGTGTAGGGTATAACTGGTGTGTGTGTGTGTGGTGTAGGCAGGGTATAACTGCTGTGATCTTTGTAACTGTAACTCCTGTGTGAGTCTATAAAGCTGAACTTCTGCTGATGAAACTGCAAACTATCTTCAGTAAATCTTTTCTTTAACGTATTATAATTCTGACTCCGGGGCTTCATTCACAATATCTGGTTCTGGGTCTTTGACTGTAAAACCCCTTACAGTGTCAATGCGGGCAGATCAATATTATTGTTGAATATGAAATGAAATGTTAAATTTAATGTCCCCAACTAAGCAAGCCAAAAGCCAATGAGCTGAAAGATAAAACCGTATTACAATAGAGACATTAATGAAAGCCGTCTTAGACATGGTCTCACAGTCCAGCGCTAGGTAAAGGTGAAGTGTGTATGTCTGTGAAATAAGATAATAAATTAATTCTAAATATTAATATAAACTATAATAGTGTAAATAAAATGAGACTGGTACCTTCCCCATCCCAGAATGGGCATGTCCGATCTTCACCACCACAGGGAATGTTGGCATAGAGATCTGAAACGCAGGTGCATTGTTTTCATTATTTACTTTCTTTAATGCTTTATCCATATTTGCTTTATTTACTGAGATCCAGGAACTGGTCGTTGCGCATAAGAAGACGTCATTAAACGTTTTCAACACGCTTCAGAATAACAGCACACCCAAAGAAATGACTGATGAGGAATAGACAGCAACAGGAACTTTAATACTATACCTCACCCTCATATAAAAACATATATTGGAAATTTATATTTACAGTTTTTTTTATTCGCTTTGGTACTATTTTCATAAGTAAGGTGTACATTTTCAAAACTCTTGGTGCTAATATCACAACAGATCATCAAAAGTGCACTTTTTTCAAACATTTCATCATGTTTTCAATTGTGTTAGTACAATTCACAAAATCACAAAGTATCCTTTTCACAACACAAAATAAGTGTTTCATCTACATTATTGTTTCATTCATAGTAACTGCCTTTCATAAAGCTTTTACTATCAAACTTTTGATTTGCATCTCTTTTTGTTCAGTTTAATACAGTTGTCTATTATTTAATCCAACTGATCTTAATAGTTAATCAATGAATCATTTGGTAAACCTATAGATTTTCATTTCAGCAATATACAGTATGGAATTTTGAGAACTACAGAAATAAAATGTGCGTTTGTACGAACATATAAATTATGTGTAACCACACATGATGAATACTCGTTATTGCTAATTGATTTCCCATAGTGGTAACCACAATTGGTTACTATATATAAAAGTGCGGGTGTAAACACTGGCCATTTCTTTCAACATGGAGCAGGATAGACAGCAATGAATAGGAAGAGCTCGTGGACAAGGGATCCATCAGAGAGGTGGGCATGGGCACCAACAGAGGTCAGCGAGGTGGGCATGGGCACCAACAGAGGTCAGAGAGGTGGGCATGGGCACCAACAGAGGTCAGAGAGGTGGGCATGGGCACCAACAGAGGTCAGCGAGGTGGGCATGGGCACCAACAGAGGTCAGAGAGGTGGGCATGGGCACCAACAGAGGTCAGAGAGGTGGGCATGGGCACCAACAGAGGTCAGAGAGGTGGGCATGGGGCCCGTCAAAGGGTTGGTCATCAGAGAGAGGGAGGCAGAACTGTTGTCTAATGAAGTCCGGGCCATCATCGTTGATCATGTGGTGAACAGAGGCCTTACTATGGCAGAGGCTGCCAGATTAGTTGATCCAAATCTAAAAAGATCAACTGTCAATTCTATGTTCAACTAAGGGCTGAGTATGTTCAGGTACAGCACTATATATTGTATTACTGTTACTATTTGATGCATCACTTACGTCATATGTATATTGGAACAACACTGTTAAAAGAGCTAACCAAAATATATTTTTTAGAGGGTTGTGGTGCTTTATGGAACATCATCGGCCAACGGGCCACAGTCCAAGTGCCTGGACAACGTGGAGGAAACATCTCCATGTGCGCAGCTATCTCTGAAGATGGTGTCGTAGGACATTACTTGGCTTCTATAATGCTGCACATCTTATTGAGTTTCTCAATTACAGTAAATTGAGCCGGCCTGTCAAGGTGAAGGGGTCACCTATGTAATTGTGTGGGACAATGTCAGGTTCCACCAATCAGAGGTAGTTCAAGCATGGTTTCAGGCCCATCCCCGATTCATGACCCTCTACCTGCCTCCATACTCTCCTTTCCTCAACCCTATTGAGGAATTTCTTTCAGCATGGAGGTGGAAGGTCTATGATCGCCAACCCCTGGAGCGTGCCACCCTCCTTCAGGCCATGGATGATGCATGTGATGACATCAGTGTACTGTAGACCAATGTCAAGCATGGATTCGTCACGCCAAAAGGTTTTTTCCAAGGTGCATGAACAATGATAACATTCATTGTGATGTGGACGAGAATCTATGGCCAAATGCTCAAGACAGGCTTGATCCAAATTACAGTAATGTAATAGGTGCACTAAATGTTATTGTTTTGTTCTTATTTAGTTACATTTCATTATAGAAAGTATAGGCCTACCTTATATCTGAAAAATAAAAACTAATTTGCCCAAATGATTGTAGAGGATGTCTTCATTGATCCTTCACTTGATTACACATATGATGGATATTTTGGAAATTATAGATTATGTAAATGTTGGGTAATGTAAGTGTATTGCCTTATGTGAAAACTGTGTAATCTGTCTTTTATAGCTACTTGTAGCAATGTTCAGGGAAGAAGGAGGCGGGAACCGGCGGACAATCAAAATAAAACTTTATTTTAAATGAAATAAACACAATACCTGCCAGCAGTCCCTCACGGAACTGCTGGCTACCCAAAATAAAATATAACTACCTGCCAGCAGCCCCTCACGGACGACTGCTGGCTACCAAAATAAAATAAAACAAAACACAAACAAAAAGCAGGCCTGTTCCTCTCTCGCTCATACACTTCGTCGCTCCCCCTTTAT